CTAAACTCCTAATCGGGAGGAGCCCAGCACACGCGGCCGTCCCCCTGGCCGGGTACTGGGTCCGTCCCTGTGCATGGGGCCAGAGAGAAAATAGTTCTTGGGGTTGGAATACTGGTGATCAAGAATTAGGAGTTCAGGTGACTGTGGAAATCCCTGGGAATGCAGCATCTCAAAAGGTGGTGGATAATCCAGAGAGACGTCTTGGGGGGACAATGGGAATGATGAATCCTGGGGTCTGAAGCAGTCGGAATGTCAAAGTAATAAGAAAGATTATTGGGATTCTAGAAGATCGAGGAGAGGTGGAAGAGCCTTCAATGGTGGTTACCGGAAGGGGAGAAGTTCTCCGCAGCATACAAGGTATAAAAGTTCTAGGTATGAAGGCGACTTCCATAGGAATAGTCATCAATAGTAAAAGAAAATATTTAGAAGAATGAGTTTATATTTGGTTATAGATTCCTCAAAAAGTCCAAATCCACTACAGACTCTGATTCCTGTTTGACCATTACAAAATTAAATACTATTAACTTCTTTTCCCCTCCTGGATTGTTTTTTGAGGTCTTTTAGGTGTTTAAAAATTAGCATTGAAGATTTGAGAACATTTTACTCATCCTATATGGAGACCAAGTTGCCTACAGTCGAGATTTGGAGTGCGGGTTTGTCAACAGTTTTTTCATAGGTCGTCGTGTGCAGAAAAACTACGATTTTTTCTCCTTTTTGTTGTCTAAACTTTTCTATCAACTTTCTGTTCTGGTTTTTAATGTTATAATACTGAGATCAAACATGAGAGGGATGCTATTATAGTTTCTTCTTTTCGTATATCATTGATGGATGATATTGCTGGCGTATTATCATGCTATTCAAAGTGAAATGGAGGCTGAAATTGTTGAGGTCTACGTTGTATTGCAGTAACATGGGAGATATGTCTGATGTTTTCCTAGGGATGGCAAAAAAGTTTGCCGACTCGGGCGACTCGGGCTCAGCCCGAACTGGGATATGGGAGAGATGTCTGATGCTTTCCTAGGGATGTCAAAAAAGTTCGTGAGCTTGGGCTCGACCCGGAAAAAGCCTGAGTCGGGCTCGGCTCGGGCTTGATTCCACCGAGCCGAGGCTCGAGCCAAGCCCCATTTTGGGGCGTCGACTCGAGCCGGCCCAACCCTTGTTTTAGGGAAAAAAAAGTAAAAAACAAAATAAAACCGGAAAAAGCCCAAGCCAGGCCCGGCCCGGCCCGGCTCGGGCTCGATTCCACCGAGCCGAGGCTCGGGCCGAGCCCCATTTTGGGGCGTCGCTTGTGCCCGGCCCGTTTTTTAAGAAAAAAAAAAGTAAAAAACAAAATAAAAAAATAATTTTTGCTACCTACGTTAAATTCAGCTGCTTGCATTGCAGACAGCTATGAGGCAGCAGTCACAAAAAAAAATTAAAAAATAATAATAATAAAATCGAGCCGGCCCGACTCGGCTCGTAAATTTTTTATGAATTTTAGGCTCAACTCGAGTTTCCCCATCTTTCTTCATGAATCCTAAATTTTTAATTTGACTGAATCAAATGGCTTATTATGTTTACTCAAAATATTGAACTATCAAATTACAGTAAAGAAAAAGACAAAAATACCGAACACAACTTTTCGGTGCTCTTGTTAGTATATATCGAATTCTTCGGAGACTCCTGATGATACTCGGCACCAACCCCACGAAAAACTCATTCTTGTACTAGCAATACAAAAATAAGCACCACCCTAAGTAAAAAATGAATCGGGATTTTATTGAACTATTGGATAAAAGGCAATCGGATATAACCTTGATCGATCGAGAACGAGGGACCAGTGTACCTGTAAAGCTAAAACACAATGAAAGCAGAAGTAACTGGATTCACAAAGAATACCCAAAATATCAAGAAATCGATCCTTTATAGATATAGGGCTCAGAACATTAAGATTGCACCCGTCTGTACAATATTGAAACAGCCACAAAACTCAAACCCTAAGGCAAAAGAACACATTACAACTACTACAATGGACCCAAGATCAAACAACTGACCCAAGACTCTAAAAACCCTCAATCGAAGAATCACTAAGACCCAAATCACAAAGATTTAAGATCAAAACCAGAAGTTTTGATTAATTCACTCAGAAACGAAAGAGAGAATACAGAGATGAACGAAAGAGGCAGCCTAGCAGAAAACTCGGGTTGAGCCTAAATTTTTTGGCTGAGATTTTGCTAGGCTCGGCTCTGTTCGAGCCCAAAAAAGCTCGGACCTATTTTGCTCGAACCAAGCTCGAGCTTTGAGTTTCGGCTCATGGCTCGACTCGTTGACATGACTACTGCAAACGCTTGCAGGCAGCATTTTGCAAGCAGCTCACAAAAAAAAAAATTAATAATAATAATAAAATTGAGCCGGCCCAGCTCGGGTCTGGCTCGGGTCGTAAAGGCCCGAGCCGAAAGCTCGGGTCGAGCCTAAAAATTTTGGCCGAGCAAGCTCAAGTTCAAAAAAGTTCGGACCTGTTTTGCTTAAGTCGAGCCCGAGCTTTGAGTTTCGGCTCGTTGACATAACTATATTTTCCCCTTAAGATCTCTTAAATATTTGACTTATTTTTCTGAGTCAACGTCTTGGTCGAGTTATATAGCATCGACATTTTTGTCATTTTTGACCATAGAAACTAAACAGTCCTCTTTACACTTGCAAAAGGCATTCAGTTTGCTAAGTTAGCGACATATGAGGTAGAATA